CTGAAGCTGTTGGGGAGGAGGAGGAGGAGGAGGAGGATGAAGGCGTGGAGTTCGGGACGCTGTCTGCTAAATTTTCTTCTAGAAAATATTATCACAAAACCACATCACGCTCTCACAATTTAAAGCTTCAAGAAGAGGGAGAGGATGAAGTGGAAAGAAAACCTCGACGCGGTCGTAAGAACACCCCGTACTGGTACTTCTTACGATGCAAGGCTCTCATCAGAGACGATAAGGTTCGTTCCCGGTTCTTGGCTCATTTGGGTTTTAAGAGCGTTGATGAAAGGTGCAGCTCTGCAACGCTGCCCCGTCTGTATCGTCCTACGTGCTCGCTTAGCGTCTTTATGGCAAGAAGTAAAGTAAGATTTGTGAGGAATCCTGTGCTCTGTAGGACTTCCACCAGAGCCTACCCACGGCTGCATGTATCTACACCCATTGTAATTGATTCTGTTGTTGTCTCATCACGGATTTTCCTCTTCCCTGTAGCTGGCGGAGGCTCTGGAGCTGTTTGACGTGCAGATGCTGAAGGAAGAGCGCGTGCAGCCGGAAGAAAGCAATTACACTGTTCTAATTGGCGGCTGCGGCAGGGCTGGCTATGTGAAAAAGGCGTTCAGGCTCTACAATGATGTAGGTTTCCATTCTCTTCTCTCTCAGAAGTTCACTGTGTTTTCTAAGCTAAAACCGTTCCAAGTATGCGATCACGTTACTTTGTCTCTAAAATGCCTTTGAGTTAGTGTCGTCTTAGCCTGAAACTCTTAAAACCAAATTATGAAATTCTAGAAGTCTGTCCCTAAAAGCCAGTTACAATTCTTCTTTCTCCTCAGATGAAAAAACGAGGCTTAACCCCCACCGAGGCCACTTACACAGCCCTGTTCAATGCCTGCGCCGAATCGCCCTGGAAGGACTCGGGCCTGCAGAGCGCTCTCAAATTACGGCAGCAGCTAAAGAACAAAAATGAAGAGCTGAACCTGATCACCTACCACGCGCTGCTGAAGGTCTGCGCCCTGTGCTCAGATCTCAGGATGTGCTTTGATGTACTGAAGGTAAAGATGTGACTTCTCTTGTGTTAAGCGTATTCTGCTCTGGTTAAAGCTCCTGGAAGTTGCCATATTGCACAGGCTTTATTTAATTTGTAGCAGAAGTAACTACAGATCACGTGTTTATATTTTATCAATCCTTGGTCTCATACAATGAAATTGTCTCAGTACATACCAAACATTAAGCTTAAGTACATAAAAGGAGGCAGCTGCAGAGGTTGGCCTTAAAACTCTGGTCAAGGGTGTTAAAGACTTAAGAAAGAAAAGTTCTGGACGGTTCACAGCTACTATGTCTGTCTTGGTTCATTTTGAAGATCCATGTATTGATACCTAGTTCCTTTTAGAGCTCTTACAGCAGCTCTCCTCAGAAGAGCCAGTCCAGGCATAGCTAAAAGAATTCCTGTTCCTGTCTGCAAATCCCCTGTAGCTCCCACCAGGGAGAAGCCAGGATCTACACAGGCATTTTGGTGCTCTTTCTCTCCTAGAGCAATCGTTCTGCCCACAGCACTGTCAGCTCACCCTATGCTTTGTTGTTGCTGCATGCCCAGAAGACAACAGTTGTATTGGAGCTTCAGAGCCAGTTGTGACAGACTGTGTGGGTAACTGCTCTCTCTGCTCTTTTAGGAAATTGTGCAGAAGGGCCACATTCTCACAGCTGAGACTTTCAGTTTCCTTCTCATGAGCTGCATAAAGGACAGCGAAAATGGCTTCCGATACGCCTTACAGGTTTGTCTTCATGTTCTACGTGGGGAGGAAAAAACACTTTTGTATTGTAACTCATCACTTGAACGCACATAAGGCAGCAGGTTGTTCAGAGCTGATGAAATAGGAGTAGTTCATCTCCTCCTAGGACAAGTTCTGTAACCTGGGCCTCCATCGGGACGTCTCGTACACTGGTGAACCACCCTGGATGATCTCACAGGACTGGACTAGCTCAATATGGCAGTTCACTGTCCAGTGGCATCTCACTCCGTTGTGCTGTAAACTCCCTCCTTTTCTACAAGTAGATACCGTAACAGTGGCCGTGGTAGAGACACTTACAACCTGCTAGAAACGCTCCTGTTATTTAGTGTCACCTACATCTGGTGTTAATTCTTCCCTCTTCAGGTTTGGAAACAAATGACTAAACTAGGAATAAAGGCCAACAGCCACACTTACAATTTGATGCTGCGTGCTGCAAGAGACTGTGGAATAGGTGATCCGGTCGTGGCTTCTGAACTCCTGCTCAGACCCACCCACGAGAACTCATCGCAGCTAAGGCTTACACCCGGGAGGCTGAAGAAAAAGGTGCCAAGTCAGAGGAAGAAGGGATCAGAGTGTGCAACTGCTGTCCAGCTGGATGTGGAAGCCATGGAAAAGCAGTTATTTCACGAGAGTTCAGTGCAGCCTCAAGAACTGATCCAGCAACAAAATGAAGATGTGAATCAGGCTGAAACAGAAGCAGCTGCTCTCAACAGCCCCAGCACAGCTCACAGTGGAACCGGAGCACTGATGAGGAGAGGCCAGAACAAGATGAAGCAGCAACAAGGATGCCTAAGCCAGAAGCAGCATTTCTGCAACCTGCCCAACCTGCTGGATTCCAGGATGCCTGACGCAGCCATGGTTTCCTTGGGGACAGTGGCCACACCGTCCCACAGACTGGCTTTGATGGGGGATGTGGAGGGCTTCATGAATAAAATGAAAGAGGACGGTGCAGAACCCAACATTAAAACATTTACATTACTGGCTGAGCTGGTGGAACCCCAAAGCCCCTCGGAGTCCTCTTTGCTGACACTTGTAGATGAGCATAAAGTGAAAGTAGATGTGACCTTCTTTAACACTTTAATAAGGAAGAAAAGTAAACAGGGAGACCTAGAAGGAGCAAAGGTGAGAAACAACTCAGAACTAGCCCTGTCACCATCTCCTTGTCTCAGGCCTCCAGCGTTACCTGTGTTTCGCTGTGAGACCTGTTTCTCTATCCGCAATAGAAACTGGGAACCTCACACTCTTTTCCACAAACCAGTGCTCAGGTTAATTTCTAAGTAGTTATGAATTCTGTTCTAGCACCTCCAGCTCTGACTGAAGAGCTACAGTGAGACTTTTTGGAAACTGATGTCAACACTTGTATCTTGCAGAGTGTGCTGCCAGCTCTGGTGAAGAGGGGACTATCTCCTAACCTCCAGACCTTTTGTAACTTGGCAATTGCTTGCCACCGAGAGAAGGATGGACTGCAGTTACTCTCAGATTTGAAGGTAATAAACTCTGCTGCTGAGGGTTTGAGCTGCAGGAAGGGGCAAAGTGAAGCATTAATGCTTATAAAAAAAACCTGCTGAGGTTTCTGTGGTGAGCAGTTGTGTTCTCACTCCAAGAATGTGCAACTCTAGAGTAGGTGCCAGCTCAGCTGCTATGCAGGTTCGGGAGTGAGAGCGTGCCTTTTCCTTCTAGGAGTCCCGTGCTGGTCAGCAGATAAACAAGTTTAACTGTAGCATTTGTTGTTTCCAGAGGTCTGGAGTAACTCCCAACAAGTTTATCTACAGCACCCTCATTGCTGCTGCTGTGAGGCAGCTGGATTACAGTTACCTCACAGAGATCCTACGAGACATGAGGAATAACCAGGTGCCTCCCAATGAAGTTATCATACGCCAGCTGGAGTTTGCAGCACAGTACCCTCCGAAATTTGACAGGGTAAGTAGCCACAACTGCTCACAGTGCAAAGTCATCACAGAGGACACCAGCAGGGGAGGGGAAATGCAGATTTCTGCCCTAGTCTTTTTCCTTTGGGTTTGTCTGATCTGTCTGACAGTTACTCAATAGCCGTTTCTTTAGCAGCAGCTTGCAGCTATTGCATGCTGGTATTCAAGTGAGCTCTCTTCTAACAGAAACTTGGTTTGTTACACTTCTGTTTGCAGTATAAGTCAAAGAACCCATATCTGGAGAAAATTGATGGTTTCCGTGGCTACTACTATCGGTGGTTAAAAGTAATGCCAGGAGAGGAGACCCCCCACCCCTGGCAGAAATACAGAACAGCTAAACATGCGGTAGGTGACAATGAGGAAGAGGCTGTGCAGGAGCAGCCAGGACAGAAGTCCCAGTGAGCAGGACGCTGAAGTCCTGCATCTTCCTTGTGCTGGAAGAACATGGAATTTGCTCCTTTCTTGTAGTGAAGCTGCTTTGCATTTCCTTGAATCCAAGCTCTTGCAGTAGCTATTAAATAAAATACTTGTCCTCTGTTATAAGGAGAATCAAATACATGTTCAGTGAATTTCCTTAAACTGCAGAGGATTAGATATGCTATCGTGCTAAACAAGGGAGAAACACTTAACATGTGACCTGTGAGTCTCTATAGACTGCTGGCATTCTTAAGCATATCTACGCACTAATTCCAGGTTAAAAACCTTAGCGGAGAGTTCCAAAGAAATTTAGCTTCTTTCTACACAAGATCAGGTGAAAGCTTGAATCAGGCTGGATGTTTGAGAACCATATTATTTCCTTTCCACACAGTCTTCAGTTAGTTCAGAAAGAGGGATAAGAGCTGGTTAAAAAACAACCCACATTTAGAACACCTCACACTGTTTAGAACAACCTTCAAACAAAAACCAACCAAAACACATCCAAGAGGAGAAGAGGGGCATAGAAACGTTTTGTCAGAAGATCACACCACTCTCTCAGGAGGGCAGACTTTATTTTAAAATAAATGGCTACACAAAAACCTACTCCAAAACAACCACCATTGTATATATGATCCAGGTGAATACGTTGCTGTTCTAATGGCTATACAGAAATACCCAATCACACAGAAGGTGGCTTCAACTGCACTAATAGTCCATGGTGTAGGATGATAGGTATGAGTTCAAAAAGTAGTCTTATGGCTAAAGGCTTCACCCAGAACAGCCTCTGCATCCACAGTGAGTGCATTCAATGATTCTCCCCTGAAAAAGAAACATGAGGTGGGTATTTCAGCCAAGCCACGCGAGCAGACTGACCAGCAGGTTTGAGCCTCACGGCAGACAATGGGTCTATATGGGAAGGGTTTCTGCCGTCTAGTTTTCTGTTGTTTCCCGTACTTTAACGACTTTAAACAAGTGCATGCCAAAGCTGACAGTAACTTTAGAACCAACTAGATACCAACTCTACCAGCAAAGATTGAAAATGTTAGTGCTAGAGGAAATTACCCAAAAGAACAGCACTGTCCCTGTCTGGGAGGGGTTAGACCGGGTACTGCAAGGGGCCAGACAAGGAACAAACTAAAAACTCTCACCACTTCCAGCTTGCTTTTGGGGACCCTGCAGATGCAGTTGGTTCCAAAGTTGGTGTCCCGTGTCTGGATACACCGCAGGCAGCAGAGGTTCTCATAACCCTGTTTCTTCCACTTTGCGATCAGGTTTTTGTCAGCGTATCCTTCCTTGATGCAGTATTCATAGAGCTCTGTAGAGGAGCAGACACCATCACAGGTAGCTCCCAGGAAGTGTTAGAGGACTCACTATCAGGAATTACTAACTGTAGTAACGAGCAGTTAAAGCCAGGCAGCTGCCAGCCTTCCCTCCCCAGAAACCTGATCCTTCCCACCAACACCCTGACTCAGGTGCATCCACAAATGGACATCTTACTCCATTCTGTTTTCCCCTGCCCAGGATAAAATATTTGCATTCCTCACCTCTGCTGATAGCTTTTCTTTTATAGAAGAGATCAAAGATGTAACGTGTTTTCTGGTGATGAATTCTGAAAATAGGCCAAAGGGATTCCACTTTCCTCTTTCCTTCGTGAGGCTCAGTCTCCGCTGGGAGGGAACACAAATACCAGGTTTTAGCTGACTGTTTCAGGCAGCCAACTAACTTCCTTAAGTCACTTTGCAATGAACATTCATAACTTTAATACATTACAGAGATAAGACCGAGCTTAACGGGAGAAGATTCAAACAAAAGGGACCTGACCTGGAACAGCTTCTTTAGGAAATGAAAACAGAAAGACTGTGGGGTTGACATGACCCACGCTGGGATAGTGTGTGACTTCATGGCTGCCCTGGTTCATCAGACCAGAGCAACGGCACGGACAAGAACTGCCAGTCTCTCCACACACACACCAGCGAGCTTCAGCAAGGGCTTGGCTGTGGAGCGCCCTAAAAGAACTGTACGCCAAACCTCTGTGCTCTGTAACCTGTGTACACCCAGAGAAAAGCGGCCAGTACTGGCCCAGTCTCAGTCTGCAGCATCACTGCAAGGCAGAGATATAAAAAAGGTCCATCTATGTTTGTAGGGGCAGCTGTGCTTCCTGAAGTAGTTAAGGATGAGTTTGTTTCAGGGACACATCGCTGAGAACGTCCAGCTCTGCCGCTCACCTTCTCTCATCTTCTGATCCAGCTCGTCCAGCGTTGGCTCAATCAGCTCCCAGCCATCCGGGGGAGGCTTCCTGCTCCTCTTCACTTTGGGCATGGCCTCAGAAACCAGGAAGGCAAAAGGCAAGGGATGGGGTTTGCCAGCACTCAAACGTGTAGGTACTTCAAAGTCCTGAGAACCGCTGGGAAAAAAGAAAGCGAAACAGCTGTTAGAGGTATTTCTCCTGAGATTTCTGTGCCCCTTTGCCATTTTGCGCTTTGATGATAAAAGTAAGTTTTGTCGAGCTCGTGAAAGAGGTAAGATCTCACCCAATGCGGCCCTGGGGACACCAGCAGGCCCAGGGGTGAGCACTGCATCCGCCTCACACTCTGAACCAGTTCTTCTCCT